GAAAATAAATCATAGTTATTTATGAAAATAATATTCACAAAAAAAGAATCAGATTAAACCACCTAAACTACTCGTCTGAAGCAAACTAAATGTTAACATTTTAACATATTGTCGAGTCTATGTTAATTAAAATATCATTTTTGTTTTATTTTTGCAAACAATTTATTCGTTTTCCTTCCATAGAAGCCTACAACATTGAGTTCAAATTTTTTTTTCTCTATTGTAAATTAATATTTGGATGTTTCAACAGAAAAATAAATAAATATGTCTTACAAATAGGAAAACTAATGACAAAGACTATATGAATTCAAAATAATATTGAATTTGTATTATAACCAAACTATTTGGTTACTAAAGTGGTTAAACTTTTTGGTTTTGAGTCTCACCTAGGATGATAAGTTCAATTTTATAATACATACACAATTCAACTATATTGAAGCCTTCAGAAAGTCTGATAAGCCAATTGATAACATTGTAAATAATTAAAATTATATCAAAACCAAAAGAAGAAGAGGATGATAGAATCGTAAAACCAAGATATTATCTGTCATCTTAATTCAAAATATGTCATGTAGTGCGATGATTTTGTAAGGTAATGTGTCTCAAAATACAACTGTGTAAGTTTTATGATATGTATCACTTAAGTCAGAAACTTGTAGAATCTATTTTTTATGCGTCTCTCAAACGAAAAAATAAATAAATAATATGAGAAGATATTTCAAAATTTTGTCTCTGCCCCAAATTAGTTTTGACAAGTATTATTTATAACTTCAAAAATTAAAATTATAGTTTCATTCTTAAATAAAAATTAATGTATAATTATTATCAATTAAAATAGTAATAATTTAATCTGTAAGATTCATGTGTTTTCTGATAATTTTCCTTGACACTTTTCATGTCGGGTTTGGAGATCTGGAAGTTACCATCACTTTCAACAAAAATCAATTTATATCTGAAATTTTTCATATGTGATTGATCAATAATGACCAGAATCGGCAATAGTAGCCAATATGGGTTTGCTCATTCAAATTTCACATTCCTATCGATCAGGCTGGAGATTATGTACACTTTCGGTCACACATCCTTTATGAAAATTTAATCCCAAGAGGACGAGCGCAACGCTAGTCGAAAGCGATCATGCAGGTTCATGATATGTTAGTTTACTTATCTTATCTTACGATTTTGATCGAATAAAAACAATTATTAATAAGTTATATTTTAACCTTGAAACAAACATAAATACAATTACGAATAAGATATATAAAAGTAAGTTAATAGAGATAGCATCTGATTAACAAATTCAAATCCAAACCAAATACTAAAATTGGCATTTTCCCACTTTAGTGCATAGAGTATATATATACTGCATAGCATTTTTAAAAATTGATGTTGTTGGCCATGTTTAGAATCCTGGAAAATTTTTATGGTGTTAGTGATTTAAGAATTCAACTGATGTAAACTCTCCTATTTTAGTGTATTCATATGTGGCATCAATATGCATATCATACACCAATATCTGAAAGCAAAGCGTGAATTTTGAAAGATTGATAATCCTATTCTATAAGAGGCAGTAAATTATTGATTAAAATAGTTTTGATGTTTACCAGCCTCAACAATGTGAAAAAATAATTTATTGACATTTAAAACCAATGACTGAATTTTTTTTGTCGCCATAAAAAGAACTGTTAAATAATTAATCATTGAACAAATTACGATGCATATATTTCTTGGTCATAGTGTATAATTATCTGATCATACATAGAGACTTAGAATTATGATGGTTTTTTGAATGAATTGGTGTCTAAGGCAGTTAATGTTATCAAGGGCTTAAGGTAGTCATAGTTGACAAACAAATGACACTTTTAATCGCTATATTTTCATCTATTAACCATTCATTAAACTCAGTTTAATTAATAGAAGGGAACAAGTTTATAAAAAATGGACCCTGTTATTGAAATTTATATTTAAAGAGTAATGTTTGATGCTTGTTTAACATATATATGTGTGTTAATAACTGAAATTTTTACTGTTTAAAAAAGATACTTTAGAATATCTAATATATACCCTTCACTAGATCTCATTTTCAACCATTGGATTAAATCATATCTAACATTTTATACAAGCATTTTGAGTATTTAATCGACACAATTCACTAGATCACCCATACCATCAACCGTTTATTATATCATACTTATCCAATATATTAGATAAGAAAATTAAAGCAGTTAACAGATTTTATAATTTATCGACCATTGGATTCAAACCTTATCCAGTTATCCAACGTGAATTGTTAAGATTGATAATGTTACATCGGCTTTGCAAGGCGAAGCCATTGGTTTCCTTTATGATATGCAACATGTGTCGATAAAAGGCTGGAGGAATGTTTGGTTTGCGGGTGATAGTGCTTAGTTGGATAGAAATCATAAATAAAGGGATGTTACAACATGCTGAGTTGGGAAATGTTCTTTACGATATCAGTCATTAGATGTCTTGGTTAACTGATTGCTCTCTTGGTTCGGTTAATCAGAGAAAAAAAATGGCTGCAGATGTTCTATCTAAAAATGTTTTTTTTTTTTTTTGACATCTCTAAAAATGTTTTTAGAGGTCAAGAAGATGTTCTTTTTCGATTCTTTCTACTTGGTTGATTCAGTTTTTGTATTGGCCTTATACTATATAATAATTAATAGAATTTTTAACATAAAAACCCCTCAATTATGTTTCATTCGGGTAAAAACCCCCAAATTAAGAATGTAATGCAAAAACCCCTCGAATCAGTTTTCTTAACAAATCGACCCCTCCGTTTTACAGTGACGTTAAAAACTGATTTGTCGTTAAGTTTGAAACACAACGTTTCATTAACTAACCAAAAAACGTCACAACTTTCAGAACTCATCCTTATCTCTTTCAAAAATTCCCAAATTGAAAATTTTAGGGTTTTTGCTTGTTCTCTCCAAATTTTCTTCATTCTTCTTCTTTCAGGTAAGTAAACCAAACTATTTCGTGTTTTTATGTTTTCAATTTTGATTCCCATGTCATTAACTTCTCTGCGATTTGCTATGTCATTATTTAAATTGTTGTTAATATTTGAACTTTCTATTGATTTGTACTGTAAAGAGATAGATAGTAGGAGTCATAATTACAATGGATTTAGGTCGTGGAATACTCAGAAAGTGTCAGTGGGGGTCTTTGACAATTGTGTTGACTTCAAAAAGAAAAGAGAATCCGGGAAGAGTTTGATCTTGTGACTGAAAAACAAGCTACCGTAGAGAAATAATTACTGTAGCTGAAGCAAGATTTTCTTGATATGAAGAAAGACATTGGAGAGGTTATTGGTGTATTGGAGAGTATTAGAGCTAAGTTTTATAAATGTTGTTGGTTTATTTTGGTCAAATTGTTATTGTCAGTTGTTGGTCCTGTATGATTCTTATCTTGTTTGTGTCTTACGAGTTGTTTGTGTCTTATGCTCAAGATGTTGCTGTTAAACATTTTGTCATTTAATTATGATCTACAATCAAGTCACTAAAATACACAGAAACATGAAATTTTCCTCATAAACCCTGAAATTTATAAAAAAAAAAAAAAAGAAGCAAAGATCGTAACATGGTGTCGAGACAAAAGGAGGTTCTTATAAACTTGAAACACCAGAAAAAGTTCTAATCTGAAACACCAAAGAAGGTTCTAATTACCTTTTTCTGAGACATTAAGCTGAGATAATCCTAAATAACAATATCAAATAAGCTAATTCATCAAGAGTCTTTGTGATTTTTTGGATTGTCCTCCTTGTGGCATATTGGGAGGCTTAGCCAGAGAGTAGCTTACATTTTCGTTTGTTGTGTCCACTTTGACGACAATTACTACATGTCTAAAAAACAAGAAAATAATGAATCAAGCCAAGCAATTTAAAAAGACACTTAGACAGATTAACATTACAATAAGAAAACATAAAATGTAACCAGACCATTACAATGTTGGCATGTTCACGCAATCTATCTCATTCACGGCATTTACCATTTCACCACATCAGTATCACAAGTTACATCCTTCCTATTCTGGTTTATTCCTGGTAGAAAATAAGAGACCTTGTTCATATTCTCTGGAAATCCACCACTTGATATCATCCTTTCAAGCATTCTGAAACTGGGTTCTTCAAAATCAATCCTGCAACATCTTGTTTCACCACTATTATATGTTCCATCTGCCGTCCAGTATTCTCCAACATGTAAACGAACATTAATTTTCCTGTTTAAGAGAAACAATTTCAAACCCATCAAACTCATTATGAAATCAGAAGTAAGCAAATTACAAGATAACTTACCTGTTCATCTTCAAAGCTCCAATCATAGACAACTTTCACATGTTGTTTTTAAGATTTCGACACAGAATACACAAAAGCACTCTCTCAGCCTCTTTCGACGTCTCGACTTTGCTCTCTCTCGAATCTCACAATCAAAACTCCAAAATCCCAGAATTTGAGAAACTAGTCATATGTCGTTGTCGTATATCTTATGATAATTTTGGGACTTTTTGTAGAAACTTAGAGATTTACAGAGGCTTTAAGTCGTATGCCTACACTACATGCTGTGTTTTAAGCTAATGTCATGTTGTTTTATCAAACAAATCATATAGTTTATGAGATAATCAAAACACAGCGTATTACTTAAACAGTATAATTAACGGAGGGTCTGTTTCATTAAAATAAGTAACGTTAGGGGTTTATTCACTGAATCATTAATTAAGGGGTTTTTACACGAATGAAACATAATTGAGGGGTTTTTACGTTAAAAACCCTAATTAATAAAAGAATGTTGTTCTAAAAAAAAAAAATACGTTGTACATTTTATTTCTTTATATCATTTTCACTATATGGCATAGAAGCTGATGTAACAATTTATAATCTGTAGTTTTGTATAATTTATATGACTTTGTAACTTTAATATAATTCAATAAAATTATTCTAAAAAAAGTTATTAGCCATAAATTCAAAAATATAAATTCATACAAACCCAAAAATGTAACAGTTGGTACCAACCCAAAAATGTAACAGTTGGTACCGGTACATATAACTGGTTAAGCTAGTGAAATCAATGTCTCAGAAAGTGAGAACCTGCATCAAAACTGAGATCTTACAAGTTACACAATACAATGGGATGCCTTTTGCTGTAATAATCATTTTCATCTGCATCTCACATCGGCTACAAGATGGCGAATCCGAGGAGCATACCATTTCACTTTCTCTATATGTTGTACTGTAACTTCCCAGCTATGACCTAAAACCATGACAAAACCCAAAATATAAGCCTGAGTTAATTCTGTGTGACTAAACAAAATCAAGAAAACCACAATACATCACAGTCTTGATTTAGTAACCATGCCCTTACGAAAAGTCAATTTTTTTTTGACAAGATAGTCTTTTACCTTCGGCTCTGGCGATATCATTTAATGATTTGGATACATGCTCGGCCCAACTGCTCACATCTGAGTCCTTCACGTTCCCATGCACATGGAGTATTCCTCCTTCTGGCCTGCAAGTTCCAATACCAAGAAGAGAGACATTAGTGAACTCATTACTTCCCAAACTTATGTAAGCAAAATTAAAACCACCTTAACGCTTGAATAGCTGTGACCCAGCTTCCCTCGCTAGTTGGGATAAGACCAAGACAGACTCTGTCAGCTACTCCCTGAGAATGAAACAGATTTTGAAACCGAAGTGAGTTATTCAGTCAAACACTTAAGACATGAACAATTTGCATAAGATTGAATATCATCAACGTACTTTGGGTGCAGTGATCCTGTTATCCCCTTCAAGAATGATACAACGGTCAGAAACAGAATTTGCTTCAACGTTATGTCGAAGTGCTTCAATAGCATGAGGATTCCATTCACAAGAATATACCATCTTTGCCTTTGCCCTGCAAAAGCATACTTACTAAGAAGCTGCAAGAGATCAATCTTCACTCTACTTCATTTGTTTAATGGCATTACCTCACAAGGAAGGGGAGAGTAAAGTATCCAATTCCAGCAAACAGGTCCACCACAACTTCATTTTCGCAGGCCATGCTACCCATACGGAGCTTTTCTGAGAGATTGCCCCATGAGAACATGCACTTGGTAGCATTAAAAGAGTACAAGATCCCATTTTCACGATGATCCACCCATCCATCGTCTCCCACAAGTATCTCCAATGTACTATCCCTTGTACCGTTGGCTTCCACACGTCCCTTGAAAGCAAATTTAAACAAGAGTAAGACAAAATGCTTACTAAACTTCAAACAATATGAACGGATGAAGTTTTACACTTAAAACATACTTGGCGTGCAAGACGGTTGGCACTAAGGGAAACAGCAACAGCAGACCAAACTTCCTCACTTATAGAGCTCCAAGCTGGATCTTTAAAAGATGTTACAGGAAGTACCACAATATCTCCAAGCCGTTCCCATCTACCAATAGAGGAAATACACAATAGTTATCAGCTGGAAGTTAGAACAACTCTTTAGTCCCAAACATTAAAAAAAAAATAGTATTCTGTAACACTTACTTCTGTGGAAGCTCATCCAAAAGCTCCTCTGGTAGACCTTTTTGTTTAAGTATAGACGTGATAGCTTCTTTCATTTTTTGTAAGGGAGACTTTGCTAATTTTTTGGCTTCAACAGCTACATTAGTGAATTTTTTAGCACCGAGTTCCTTCAATAGATCCAAAGCCATAGAGCTGGATATTTCCTTCAATGAAAGACCCTTAGTGAGCTTGCTGGTAAGGTGATTATCTTCTGACCCTTCTAAGTCCTTGCCCACAAGCTGCTTCTCATGGAAAAGCTCAGAGAACTTTTCAGTCACTGGGAAGCATATATAAATACCTTTTTCGTGTGAATAAACCTTCCTTTCAAGATCTAACCATCCAAAGTTTTTAAGTATGTCCTTGCCAGACTTTGCATACTTTCTTTCTAACTGTAAGACCCACGGTTGAGACAGAGAAGCTTCAGTCTTCACTTCTATAGAAGCATCTTCGTGTTGGGGAGCAACATAATTTTCACTCATAGTCACTGACTGAAGCAAGTTGATTTTCACTGGTTCACTGAACTTTGTTCCAAATGCATAACAAGCAGCTCCGCCTCCAATTACGATAAGATCATCGCCAATTACACTAGCTGTACTTCGAACAAGCAATTCTTTGTTCATAAAGTCCAGTCTCACACTCCTCCACATTCGGTGCTTCAAATCTAACAGAACCAAATCATGACAATTTTGTGAAACGGGGCAGCCTCCAATTATGCCAATAACATGTTTATACACAAACATCGAGTGTGAAAACCTGGCCTGAGGCCATTTTCCTGAAACCACTTCAAGTTTCCAAGAACAGCTTTCGACGTCAAAGCTGTATAGATCATCGAGTACCTTTTCACCATTGTATCCTCCAAACATGAATAACTGAGACTCATATGCAACCATATCATGAGAGTGGCGCGCACATGGCCATTGACCTCTCTGTTCAATTTCTTTCCACTGAAGGTTCTTGGTGTCCAAAAGGTGCAACGAGGATAATATCGTATCCTGGTTAAGTCCCCCGAATATGTATACATTTGAGCCAACACTTGCTGCTGCATGCCGATGCCTTGGAGGAAATTCACATCCAATGCATCTCTGTGGGCTCCATTGATTTTTAGATATATCAAGCATCCACACATCATTCAGAATATTCAACGGATCAGCTCTTCCTCCAACAACAAACATGCAATCACCAACCATTGAAGCCGTGTGTCCAAGTCGTGGTGATGGAGAATCATTGACTGTGACCAACCTTAAAGTTCCGCATGAAGGGTCAAGCAACATTGACTCGTTTCTTCGAGCATGTCTACCAAAACCTCCAAAGCCACCGAACACAATAACTTCTTTCCGGTCTGTTTTATTTATGGTACAAGCTGAATGTCCCCAAAGGTGAAGCTTCTCAACAGGTTCCCCGGTGATGGATATTGCTGAGAGTGGCATAAGATCTTGATGAGGCCCTGCCAATGATTTAGATATGGAAACTGACTGTCACGTTAACAATTTGGAAAGTTATCCTGCAAACCAAGTAGCATGACTCAAATTCTCGACCAAAGATACTCTACCAGTCTACCACTATCACAACCACTACATAACTTACATAAATAAAAGCCCCAAATTTATTTAAAGATTCTTTTATTAAAATTATACGAACTGTTTAAAGCCTCTAAATCTCAATTCTCAAGGCTGGCCCTACCAATCCTACTGCATTAATCAAGCCAGGCTTATGCATTTTACCCAAGATCCGAAGAACCTGACAAAGAAACTTAAACCACAACTGGCCCAAAATTCACAAATACCAAACAGTTCTTTATCTATATCTCAAAATTATCCAAAATTATCTAAAAATATCAAAATATTTTAGTCTGAAATATTCGAAATATACTTTATTTCTATCCAAACAAAATTACACTGTATTTTATCTGAATTACCCGAAAAACCCAAATTGAACCCAAACACACTGATTTGTTCGAATATTAGCTGGTTCCTAATTTTTATTCCCAAACTGAACCGAACTGAGGATCAGACCAACCGTTCCAAACTAATTTTTTCTCGGTCCTTATATGGATCCTAAATTCCCCTACACAAAATAACCGATCCCATACCCAATATGCTTAGCCTAATTAAAGCTATCACCTAGTGATACACACAAATTCAATATAAAAGATTTAGCTCAGCTAGTTACCAGTATGCAAGTCACCATTGTTAATGCTTGAATCGTCATTTCCAGCTAGTTTCTCGAAATTATCATCTTCATCCACATCATTAGCATCATCTGGATTCTTGAAACCGTTATTTAACAAAGCTAAACCAAACCCATCAGTCCTCTTCCTATTAGCAACCATCTTCTCATTCGCAACATCAACAAGAAACCTCACATACTCCCTCGAAACCATAACCTTCTCCGTATCACCCAACGGCACCTCCATCCGAATCGAACACCGTATAGCTATAATTACCCTTTTACCCTCCCCACAACACGTAATCCCCGACTCTCTAAACCCGGCCGAGATCGCAGTCGCCACTAGAAACTGAGCCGAACACACGTCCTTGCATTCCACCGCAATAATCAACGGCTCGAATCGGAAGACCAGCTCGCTGGGCTGATCAAGAATCTGAGTTGAGTGTGGAGGGAAGAGGAGGTCAAGTACTGACTCCGGATCTGCTGGATCGTGCGTGATGTAGAGCCACGACCCGCCGCGAGCTTTCTTCTTGGTTGCAGGGTTTGTTGATTGGGGTTTGGTGGGTTGGGAGAGGATTGAGATTCGGCCTGAGCAGGAGCTGGTGGTGAAGTAGGAAGGGTGGTGGTTGATGGTTTCGAGGAGAGGAAGGATGGGCTCGTCGAGGTAGCCTTTTGGAGATTTGTCGGTTACTGAGGACCGGATTGAGGCTAGTGTCGCGGCTTTCCTCTTCTCGAATTCCATGTTTTTTTATTTTTCTGGAGTTGATGTGAAGAAAAACCCTAGCTAAGGTTTTTGTAAATCTCGGTGTTGATGGTGAGCTGTACTAAACGGTAATAGCCGCTGCCGTTTTAGATGCGTTGATACGACAGCGGTTTTGTCTGTTAAGTAAGTGTGTCGATCTGGTTTTGGGATTTTTTTTTTTTTTTTTTTTTTTTTTTTTTGACAACGAACGGTTGATCTATTACTCAAGCTTGAGGTGGTCTGGAAATCCAGACCGGAATAGAACAACCAACAAACATGAGGTCCCGATAAAAGGATCGGGCAGTCTTAGCTAGGTGATCGGACATCGCATTTAAAGACCGATGTACATATCTAATCTTAAAATCTGGGAAGCAAATCTGGGATTAAATATTCCGGTTCAGTCATATATACTCATTTCATGCTGATAAAGGGACTACACATTGTTTCTGAATTGATAAGTGGCATGCTTAGCAAAAAGGTCTGTACATTGATTATCCCCAACTTAAAATGTAGTTGAAAGACACCAATTAAGCAGGTCTATTCTTTAGAAATTCACAGAATATCTCAAACAAAACAAATATTAATGTTGAAATGTAATTAATTCTTTGTAAAATGGATAATGTCTTACAAATTCTGAAATAAGATATGTATAAAGTGGATGTTTCAATAATTCTCAAATAAACTATTTTTCAGATTTTTCTTTAATTTGTGACAACTCCACTAAAATATTCTCAGTGGAAAAATTATTGGATTTTATATCTCATTTGTTAGAGTTACTATAATGTACTCCATCCGTTCCATAATATAAGATGTTCTAGAGAAATTGATGTTTCAAAATATAAGATGTTTTGATATTTGTAAGGTATTTTAACTTTATAGAAAACCGGTTAACCAATAGCATTTTAGTTTATTATTTATGATTGGTTAATTTATTTTAAATTTATACTATCAATGATGTTATCTTTTAAAAAGTTAAGCTTCTTAATTCTTGTGTTTTGGATAAAACATCCTATATTATGAAACGGAGGGAGTATTAGTTTTGCTTCTTCCTCAATTCCATCAACGATCTTATCCCAATATAAATTACAGACGTCTAAAAGATAAGAAAGTTGGTAGAAGAAAAAAAAACATAACCGACTTCCTTCTATCAGTAAAAAAAAGTTGGTTAGCATTTCTAAAAGACTCTCTATAATTTCAACTATATAGTTTTTTGTTCTCTAAAGAGAAACTTCAAAATTGAAGTTTCATCTTTTTATTTGAAACTAGTGGTCCGTCCGCGCTGCGCGCGGGTTATCGGATATTTGTATTATTTAAAAATTTTAAATGATTTCTTGGTTTGTAATGTAATATTTTTATTGTGTTTTTTTTATGAGAATGGTCTATTATGATATCAATGTGATGGCATTAGGGTTAAATGATGGACATTTGGAAATTATTTTAAAATTCTTGAGTCATATATGTTATTTTTTT